AACGGCTAGTGTGAACCGGACGTGCTTGAAACACGGACCGAGACCGCCCGAGGTGTCGAGCACGCCCACTATAGGGGCCTGAATATAGAATAACGTTGTGGGGCCCATCAGACAAAATATGTAATAACGAACCCCCAAAAGAGTAAAGGTAATCATCAAGGCACCTATGTTATGACATAAGAACGCCAGCTCAGCCTGGCTATACTGCGCTTCGAAATACATCGCACAAGACGCTAAGATTCGCGCAGGCAAACAACAACGCTAGATCCTAGATCCCCAGCGGCATGAGCCGACATACATCTCTACAGTGCCATGCCGCGATATTCCGCGCAGTGGGCGACCCCTAAACCCGAATAAAGGTACGACAACTCTTCCCTGGCCTCCCGCTTCCACAGGCGAAGGTAAATCACGATCCCCAGGGTGACCACCACCGCGAGAAGCCTGGGCTGGGAGAGTCTACCTGGATTCGGGCTAAAGCTTCAAGGGCAGTGCTTGAAAGCTCGGGCTCTGGCTAGGGCTTTTTGGCAGCACAATCACGCTGGCTAGGGCTTGGGGTGTAGGGTTTTGCATGAAAGTTTTGGGGATTTACGGTTTAGGGTGCAAGGCAGGCCTTAGGATATTCGAAGCTTGCAGTACCGCAGAACTGGTTTCGCCACTGCAATCGAATCGGTTCCTGCTCCTCGTGACATTCGGGTTTTCAATCCCGGGATATGGTGACGCTGGCTTCCTTGCACAGTGGCGGATCGAACAAGGAAGCCAATCGGTAAACAGCACGGAAGCTCTGAAAACGTATCTGGGCTTCCCTTTAACCGTCCTCTTCGGGCTACCGGGAGGCCCAGGCAACTGTAGTAGGTTTTGTGGGCATCTTCCCCGACAACTCTGTGAGGATGAATCTGAGGACGTAATTCAAACGATCTCGTGACTTCGTGCGAAGGCTCCTCGATCAGCGCTTGAGCTTTCTGCCCAAGGCGTTGGTAGGAAGTTTGGCACTCGCCCTCGCACGAATCTGGAGGTGCAGGGTTTTGCGAAGTAGGGTTCCAAACGCAAGCCAGGCATCAGTCCAAGAAGGGATACGGGGATCACCACGGCAAGCATCCTGCTGGTTTTAAGTGTCCTTGGATCGGCTATCAGCAACTAGAACTCAAGGTTTTCTGCCAGCATGTGGGATCTACGGCCAGTGAATGGTGATCGCATGTTCCAACCTAAGCTTTGCGATCGAGGTATCGAAACAGAAGGCGCGCTGCCGCAATATCGCTTCACTGGAATTCTGTATCTCACAATTTGTAGCAACAGCAACATCTCTGGCAATGCAATCCAAAAAATTCCGCATTGTTAGAGTATCATATACCCGGAACAGGTGATCCTCGGCGTCGATCCTACACGCGGTCGAGGACGGACCAGCATGTCAGCTTCGATCTCCATGGAGCACACGGATGACAAGCTTAGGACTTTGGCCGTAAGCTGTTGTGCGGCTTCTGTTCACCACTTTCTAAGACCTTCTAGCTCCACCAAGCATCGAAGCCTCTGAAACTAGTGATTCGTGGTGCTGCTCACCGCAATTCGTATAACATACTCAGCGCGTAAGATGCCACCCTGCATTCCCTTTTCACATCTTCTTCAGCCAGATCAGACAGGGAGTCTGGGTGATCTCCAGGATCGCTTCACCCTGAGGTCCGTAGAAATCCTTGGATTTCAGGCGCCAGTCTGACAAGACCCTCAACCCAGTCGCGTTGCAGATGACGCTCTCTCGAACCTTAAGCAGTCGGACATTTGATGATAAGGAGGTGCCTCAAATGGAAACCCACCATCTTCGCCTCATGACAGGATTGCAGTCGCACATGACCAAACTAAGAGGCTCAGGGTGCAAGTGTCATTGCGGAGAGCCCCTGATGCTGAGCCCCACACCGACTCACCCCACCATCAACAACAATGCAGCCCCTAAGGCCACACGAAACGAAAGTCAAGCCCAGGCTCATCCAGGGACCTGAGGCACTCCGAGCTGGGATTTGGCCCAATCATCTGGGAATTGTGGACCCAACCGAAGACCTCAGCAGACTTTTCCGACCAGGAGCAAGACAAGGCAAGAGTCTGTGCGTTGTGATGATCCTGAGCCTGGTGGTCGTGACTGGCAAGGGTTGTGGTGCTCAGGGTCGCCTTGAGGCAATTCCAGCGACAGTACAAAAAAAGTAGGGCTCGGAGTAGCACTATTCGTCGTCGCAGTGGTAGGGACCGTGGCGGTGGCAGTGGTAAGGGTGTTCATGGTCCATCCATCGTCGCCGCCTCGTCGTCTTGATTGTGGTAGTCGTCGCCGTAGTAATTCGCAGTAGTTGTTGTTGCTGTCGTAGCTGCAGCAGGAGGAGCAGCAGCAGCAGCTGTAGCCGTCGTCGTAGCAGCAGTACATAGAAGAAGCCGCAGCAGCTGCAAATAGAAGAAGAGCAGTACTAGTCCTTGATCCTGAAGACGACACCCATCCGCGAGACAAGCCGACAAAATCCATTGGCCGCTGAGCCGCCGCCTCGTCTTCCGTAGCACCGCAGACGCCTCGGCCCCAGGAGTCGCAAACAGCCCTGCTATCGGAGCCTTTATCATTAGAAGACGGTTTGGGAAGTACATTATACTATAAATCTCATATAAGGAACCCCAAAATAGTTTTGGCAATTATTGAGGCCCTCTACTAGGACCCAATCACAACCCGAAGAGCCCTTTTCGGCACGCGCTTTGGGTGTATGCCCGCAGGCTGGACTCTCATGAGACACAAATCCAACGAAGCGGGGTAACCCTAAACCCTCTCAGCTTCTTGTGACCGTCCCAGATGCTCGGCAGGCCCTCCTGGAGGATCGCCTCCGCAGATTTGGGCTTAGAGTCGAAGTAAGGATTTCGAATAAGACGCGAATCATATACCAGCAAGTTCGACACGTTCCTTCCGACTTGCTTCAAGCTTGCAGTTTTCTCTGGGCTCAATGGCACCCTGCAAGGAAACGGAGCTGAAGTCGCGGCTTTTCAGGTTCAGGGCTGTGAAGGGGGCAACCTCGAACGGGGACGGCCTTGCTGGCGCTGCAGTCCCCACAGCCTTCGTTGCATCCGCTGTGGACCTCGGCTCTTTAATTCTCACAGTGTCGCACTCAGTAAATGCTGAGACTTCGACTCAGATACCTAGCAAAAGCAAGCTCCGAATACGACCCGATACTGTCGGAGAATGTGAAAATCCCACCTCTGTGTTCTTGTCTCCTAGTACCAAAGTACCTCAGTTTAGACAGGAGCTACTCGTAACCGACGGTCCTACTATGGTAATTATGCAGCTACTATACTCGACTAGATTGCACGATGCTTTAATGCCGCGTCATCGTGTCTGTTTTCCGACCTGGTATCTTGGTATGCATTTTGACCTGCTAGATTCAGTTGTGCGATGCTACGCCTACGCCATGTGCCATACTGTCTAATCTAATGTTATAATTATATGTTGCGTCCTGTCGCGCTACATTTGTTTATGACACTTTGTCTTGTGCTAGCCTCGAGTTGTCTTATCTCGGCGTGATACCCTACGCGTTAATTGAAACTCTTTATGCGAGATCTGGCAGACATCCAACAGCATCCAACCAATCAGCCCACTTGGGCCATGCAAACCGCAAAGCAGTCTCCGTCAACAGCCAGATCCGAAACAGTTCCACCTTGGTTTTATCATGTTTATGTTCCGACCGTGTTGAAGAAACCCAACACGTTAAAAGAATCAGCCCTCTTGAGCCGATAAGAAAACTGACACTATAACAGCCGGCTGGTGGACGCGGAATGAAGGTCGGCTCGTCCGCTCCGACGTGGAGTTCTCCACTCTCAGGATCAAAAACTCGCCGCTGGCACCTCTGCACTCAGGGTTTTTCCCTCGTACTTGGCAAGGACGAGCCCGCATTGCAGGGTTTGGAGTTTAGAGTTCTGCAAGGTTGCTCCGCATGAGCCCCGGCCAACACATACGTCTACGTGCATGGGAGACGCACGTGAACACGGAACCCACCTTCTAAAACTGCGACAGGGCAACGGAGGAAGCAGCTGTGCAAACCCACGCCCCTCAACATTCCCGCTGTGCGATGTGCTCCTTTTGCAAAGTCAAAGCCGAACCCAACACCCGATCAAGATCGAGTGGCTCGCTCCGGCAGTTCCTGGAACACCTCCGTCCCAGGGCAGGCGCATTCCCCCCGGCAGCATGACGCATTCGTCGACCTGTTTCATCTTCGGCTAGGAGCTGGTAATGGCGACGACTACGAAGGGCGCTAGTAATAACACCAAGGAGAAGAGCAGCACGAATGACAATGCAATGATTGTGCTGCTGCTGAAGATGACGCCGGTGATGATGGTGGCATGAAGATAACCAGCAGGGTGGCAGCAACGATTAGATTAGATGATGGAGATGATGCAGAGCATCAATTAGCAAAGACCATGGCGAAAACGAAGCACAGACCGTGCGAAGACGATCAGGTTCATGGCGATCTTGTGGTGCTGCTGTGGTGGTGGTGGTGGTGCTGGTGGTGGTGCGTGGTGGGGTGGTCTCACTCTTGTTGCTGCCGTTCTGGGCGAAAAAACAACCTGAAATGCAACGACCGATACGGCAACAGAAAAGATCTCATAAAATGATGCTTGCTTCAGCTGGATGGCATAAAGATCAAGGCACGCCGCTGGGTAGTTCAGACAGATCTCATTCGGGCTGGGAAAGGCCTGTCTTGGGGCATTGTGGCGGTGGCCATACCAGCGGTAAGTCACGAACTCCTTGCCCCAGGCTGCATGTAGACCGAGGATGAGGAGCTTCCCCCATCGCAAAGCATGAACAGCCGGCGCCATGATGAAGCTTGGATTGAGCCGCAAAAACTTGCAGCGGCCTTGCTGTCAAGCCCCTGAAGCTGCAAACGATGACTACTATACTCCCACTGCCCTCAGCTACGGCTACGCCCGCTTCTGAAGTGCCGGTGCTCTGTGCCCGCACAACTTCAAAATCCTAGGGCAACCATCAGCTCCTTCAAACTTGCAGCTGCAATGTCGACGCCACCTTCAACCATCATCTGCCCTTCATGCACCTCGGAGGAAGGCAGGATGCAAGCCTAGGTTATACGGCACACCTGTCATCACCAGTCCTGACTAATTTTCTTTACTCTTGGACATGTTTTTGCTGAAGAGAGTGCAGACTCTTCGGACGGGTTCAGCCCCGAGATTCAGATCTCAAGGCCCACAGCAGGTCTGCAGCTCTGGGTGGAATCTGCAGCTTCGGGTCTCAAGGCCCACCTTGTATTGAATGTGGAATCGAGAAGCCAGACACTGCAGACACTTAGGCGCTGCCCGAGGATGGCCCGTGACCACAATTGAATATTCAAGGCATAGCATAGCAATTGAGATCTAGAGAGGACATGCAGTAGGGACACGAAGAAAGTAAAACAGGAACTGCCATCCCCTCTGAATGCCCTGAACACTTCAATCTGTGTGACGCACTGCTTTGACACTCAAACTCCGTGAACCTCAAGAGCCCGAACCCTTAAACTCCTGGCATCCTTAAAATCCTTACAGTAGATCGCTTAAAGGAACCCTTAAAGGTATACTCTTATAGATCCCATTAAAGGAACCCTACCCCCCCTAAGGGTCCCTATGGTTCTGTCCGCCTTACACTCAGAGCCGGAGCCGAGCCCGGAACTCGCAAAGAGCATTTCGGATCCGCTGCAAGCAGATCGCGAAGCTCGTCGCGGACCTGAGAGGGGACTTTAGGGGACTTTAGGATTCGGGACTAAGACATCAATCACACCACCACCATGGCGACCAACAACAACAATAACACCAGCGACAGCACAACAGCAACACCAACCACAACACACCCGACAACAGCAGCAGCAGTAACAGCAGCAACAACAGTCACAACAGCAGCAACAGCAGGAACAGGAGCAGGAAGGGGAACGGGAACAAATCTTGAAACACTGCGCATGAGACACTAACCACCCGAAAATTGTGCATTTCTTGGCGGCGCATGCTGTTGTGTTGCCCCAATTTCCCGCTCCTACCTAGCAAGGACCAGCCTGGATCGCAGGGCAACTCCGAAGAGCAGTGGACATGTTGCCCGATTTGCTTGCACATGGCAAGCGTTCCTACCGTGATGGAAAACCTTCAAGCATCTAACTATGGCCTATTTGCTTCGAACTAATCATTTTCATACTTTCCTAGTCGCTGTTAACAAGACTCATACCGCATGTAGTGTTGATCAGTTGATCGGCCGTCTTTCGTGCTTCACACACGCACGCACACAAACGCATGTGTATAAACGCGCTGCCGCTCATCACTGTTGGTTGCATGGCAGTGAGCCCATGTGCACTGCAGCATCGGCCGCTCATTTGTTTGCTGCCCGCTTGCAGCTGGCGGGCGCAAGTTGCTCTCTGCGCATTGTCTTGCTTGGGATTCAGGATGCCATCTTGGATGTGCGCGCCCATTTTCGCAGGTCAGAATTTACGGCCTTGCAGGGCAAGTGAGTGGCTCCAAGTCACTGTTTACGGCTTGCAGAGCAGGAGCGCTCGCGCACCGGCTTAGTCTGAAGCTTGTACATTTGCGATTCTGAACGACTTTCGCCGACTTAGCCAGCATGTGAAGTATCTCTTATAGCTTCCCTTTTCGTTTCACGCTTTGTAGTTGACTCATTGTGACATTCTTGTATACTCCGCTACTTGTTAGGACCGAGTGCGGCAGCCGCCGTCGACGAGGCCTGTTCACGCCAAAAAAAAGTGTATAAACGCGCGTAATAGAATTGCCTTTGCATAAAAAACATGTTATCTATCTTTATATATACACAGTATATATGTATATATATATATATATCCACCCTCACCCTCTCTCCCTGTGCTCCCCCATGTCCATCTTTGCACTCGTGTGTCTGAGTCTGTTCGCACTGCTGAGTACTTCCTAGCATGTTCGCGCCCGTGCAGTTGAATGCATTCGCTGATGAATGAACGAATGAATATGTTGCTAATGAATGCATAAATGAACGTTGTGTGTATGAATGAACGAACGAATAAACAAATGAAACGCTGTGTTCATGCACGCATTTGTGTACGATCGGAAAACACTAGAATACTAGAACTAATGCGCAGGAGCATTAGCGAAAGCACCTATACCGGCATGTACATGCTCACCTCAATTAGTGCCTGAACATCATGAAGAGGTGCGATCTCGCGCATCGACAGTGACACCTGCCAGTCTCGAGCACTTAGAGCGCGCAGGCGTCGGAAGACCTGGGGCGCAAATCAAGACATCCTGGATCTGACTTGTCAGCTACTTGCGACATGCCTGACGAGAACCCCAACACTCCAAAACTGCCGTCTGAGCCCCACGGCATAGCGAAACGCTCGCGGTGCGAGGCCTCTGTCACGAAGCTTCGCAAGGGAGGACTAGGCTTCTGTTGTTTTTGGTTACTCGAACAAGTCGCAATGTATGAAGACGAGACTCACCACATATCCTACGTACTTCTAGCCCAAACCCTAAAACCACCTAGAGATTCAGCCCTTGCACAAGAACCCCTACAGCCACAAAAAACAGCCCAAAGCCGCAACCGCCTGTCCTGTCTCCCCTGGGGTGCCTTGCTCCGCAGCCGCATGCACCAAGTCGGGAGAAGGGCCGAAAAGGGTGTACCTCTGGAGTTAGGTTTGGATTTGGGGCTTCGACACTCATACTCGGACACTGCATGTTCGGAGCTCTGGTTAGTGTTGGTGCCATCGAGCTGAAGAACAAAACCCAAGGCAGGGTTTGTGTTTCGGGGCTCCGGGTTCCGTTTCACAACCCAAGGTATCAAACTTGGGCTCACAGCAGCATGTCGGCTGGGCTCTCCGAACACACGGTACCAAGAGCAAAGCACGTGTAATCACGCGTATGGTTTCTGCACTCACAGCCAGTCTGAAGATTGCCCAAAGTTCCACGCAACATAATGCTTACAGCTGCACCGCATGTACTGCTTATACTCTAATGCAGCTCCAGACGAACGGCAAACCCAGAAGCAGATGCTATGTGTGTATATACACCACATATATACATATATATATATATATGCTGTAACAAAACGTGATATAAGGCTCAGCATAGATGGCTATGTGTACGAACAAATAACTCCAAGTTTTCCGAGAGTGCAAAACTGCAAAGCTCCGTCGTCGCCGGCAAAGTAAAGCAAAAAGACTGCTTGGGGCTTAGGGTAGGGTTGCTTGTGTTTTCTGCTTTGCAAGGTCGACCCACCTAGGCTGGCAAAAGGGTTTAAAGCTTCGTTCATTTACAGTACTCTCTCTCTCTCTCTCTCTCTCTCTCTGCCGTTGCATCCAGAGGGTCTAGCAGCGCCAGGCAACGCATGAGGTTAAAGCCCTTGAGGCCCCTCACGAAAACAAAAGAGCAAGCCGCCCTTCAAGCAGCAGGCTGTGCCGACGTTCATTTACAGTACCTGATACTCAATTATGCTTAAATCATGCTAGGGATCTACATGTTTTGAGGCGGACAAGGCGTTCAATGCCTATCGCAATGCTGCTAGAGGATTGGGCTTTAGTTTGGGGTTGGCCTTACTGCAGGAACCCTCGCTGTCGCCAATCGGATCTGCAAGTCTGCAAGTTACATGTCTGCAAAAAATGTTGGAACGGCCGGTGCACATGGTTCGGGGACTCATTTGGATCTTGGATGCAGGCTGAAGAAGCATCGTAGATGCAATACTTTGGGCTTTGGCCGCTGGGTCGAGGCATGACCGAACATGTCGGGCTGCGAGCTACTGTAGCCAACTTAGGTGCCAAGGCGAAACAGCAAATCGTAAGGGAGGTCGTGACCGAGTGGCGACTTTCCCGCGCCACCTTCCCCATAGCAAAGAACCTCCAGACAGAAGAAGCCGCTACGCGAGTGCTGTACAATACTGTTGGTCTCGGTCTGAGAGTCATTTCCGGCCCTAAATGCTTCTTCGGTCATCACCAATGTCGTCGGCGTGGTCAGCGATGTGCCCATACCCAAGATCATCTTCATCTACATCGTCGTTGATTCATTCTCATCACCCCCAAGCAGCAGCAGCAGCAACATCGCCCTGGTCATGATCTCAGCAACCCTCTCTCCCCCAGCACGGCAACCATCAAGAGCATTATTGTCGCATTGTCGCCAGCGTCTCAGCCACCATCCCCGAGTAGAATTACCGATTCGGACAAATCATCCCGACCTTCGTGGCAACCTCGCCCTCATCTCTGCGCAACAACATGCGGACATACCTACATTCCTACATACATCCATCTCCGTCCATGCACGCAGAAAGGCCAACAGGCAGGCAGGCAGGCAGGCACTGATACGAAGATACATACAATTACGTGTATATATATATATATATATATGGTCACCCCCCCCCCCCCATGACAGACCATCCCCTTTAAAACATCGCTCCCACCGGCGTGTTCGTGCTTTTTCCGGAGTATCGAGTTTGAGCCCTCCGAACGTATCCCTGGAACCACCAAAAGACTGAGACCAGAAAGCAGCACGATAAGGCGCGCGGGTGTCCTACCAAGAAAGGAATTACAGAGCACACGTGTATGGATGAGGGTTGTGCTGACACACTACATAGTAAGCACTACACAGTAATCTTACTTGAGTCATATATAGAGCAGATTCCAGCATTTCCAAAATTTCCAAAATTTCCAAAATTCTCTCCCCTAACTTTCCAGATTTCCAAAATTTCCAAAATTTCCAAAATTTCAAAATTTCCAAAATTTCCAAAATTTCCAAAATTTCCAAAATTTCCAAAATTTCCAAAATTTCCCGACCTAGTCGACAGGATTTTTCCAAAACATAAGGGCGGACTGGAAATTTTGGAAATTTTGGAAATTTTGGAAATTTTGGAAATCCGGAAAGTTAGGGGAGATTTTGGAAATTTTGGAAATTTTGGAAATGCTGGAATCTGCTCTATATATGACTCAAGTAAGATTACTGTGTAGTGCTTTTAACACTAACGTTGACATGTATATTAATGCTTTCATTTCGAATATGCACATTACTAATTCTATTATTAACATTAATACTCCTACGCCTACCAATAGTCATATTCATATTGATATTAATGCCAATACTAACAGACACCTGCGTATATTAATGTCCGCAGATATACATACCACTATCTGAAAAGCAAATATATCAATGCATTCGTGTACTAACGTAGTATATTCGTATTTAATTTGTCATATACCCAGTTTCCAACGTGACAATATACTACTTGTTAACGTCTGATTATACTGTATTGATATGCTAACTTGCTAAGACACGAACACTGTAATACGCAAGTACACTGACACATGGCAATGGTATACTAACATATGGATATACCAAAAAAGTTGTTAGATAATCTACGAATATGATAAGTGAAGTAGCATACCAGGATACTCATACACTAATATGTTAAGAATCGAAGATAATAGCACACCAATGTACTAATGTACTCATGCACGAACGTACGCATGCATTAATATACTAAGAGCATACAAACATACAGGTATACAAACATATTACTGTTCCAATACATTATAATGTGTTGGTATACTAAGCTGTTTATATAATCTATCAGTATACTAATATATCAAAACTAATTATAGTATTGATACGCATACTAGCACGTCCGCGAATATTACACTGATGTTAAACTCATCATTAAGACTGATTGAAACTTACATCGACAATGGCACTGGCATCAACACTAACTATCACTAAATATGCTAGTGTACTAATATACGAATACTGTAAAAGGCAAGTACACTGACATGTTCACATGCCATTATGCCAACATATTGATATACCTATAAGCTATTAGGGAAAATACGAATATAGTAAATGTAGTAATAGACCACTATAATAATATACTAATATACTACTACGTTAACATACGAATATCATGATACACCAATATACTAATGTACTCATGCACCAACGTACTAATATATTCGCGCAATCTTCAACTCTGCAAATATACTATTGTTCGAATACATTACTGTATTATTATATTAAGCTCAAAATGTACGAATCAATCAGTATATTCACATATCAAAACTATTTCTATTACTGATACTAATACCAGCACTTCTGTGAATAATAAACAGATACTAAAACCAGCATTCAGACTGATACTAATACTAACACGAGTACTATTACTGACATTGACATCGACACTGGCACTAACACCAGCACGAACATAATCACGAGTTCATATTTACTATTATTGATATGTATACTTTTGTTCAATACTAATACTAATACTGATGCTAATACTAATACTAAATACCAATACCAATACTAGTACTAAAGCAATACCCATCCTAATATCAATACTACCACAAAACTATTACTCATATGAACACTGATACCAGGATTAGGACTACTACAAACAATGACAGCAGTACTAAGAATAGAACCAAGAACAATACATATTAATCCTAACACTAATACTAGTACTAATACTAGCTACTAATTCTAATACTCATACTCATACCAATACTAATGTCACCACTACTGCTGCTACTACTACTGCTACTACTACGACGACTACTACTACTACTACTACTACTACTACTAGTACACATACTTAATACTAAAACTAATACTGATACTCATACTAGTCACTAATACTAATACTAATTCTAATACTAATACAAATACCAATACTAATGCTACCACTACTACTGCTGCGCGACAACTATTGCTAGTACGACGACTACTACTATTAACATCAAGACACATACTTAATGCTAATACTAAGAGTAATACTAATTCGAATACTATTACTCATACTAAACATCCTAATATCAATACTACCACAAAACTAATACTAATGCTAACACTGATACAAGAATTAAGATTTACAAACAGTAATAGTGGTACGAAGAGCAGAATTGAGATTAAGATTGGGACTAGGAGCGCTGCATGCGTGTGAAGAAATTTCCAAATTGCAAACCATCTAAAAGAACATTTTGGAATTGAGTTTGGGAGAAGTGTCTGTCGCCTATCCGTTGACAGACCCTGCCTGGGGACGCACGCCACCCTTCCCCTTCCCCACGACGGTCTGTCATGGGGGGGGGGGTGAGCATATATATATATATATATAGAGTTACATACAATTTTTTCACTACATTATGTATATACTTGTACCGAGCCAGGCGGCCGTTGCGTTGTAGCCTTCGAGGACGTGTTGAGTCAAGTCCCGGCCAAGGCGCTCGAAGACTTCGGCCTCAGAAGGTTTCAGGATCCTCCTAAGTGGTGTAAGTAGAGTAGCAGTGGTTTAAGTGGTTTAAGGGTTTAGGGTTTAGGGTTTTAGGGTTTCGGCGCTTGCACTCGGACAATCCAGGCGAGGCAAAGGGTTCGGAGTCTGTTGAGTTGTACGCTCTCACAACTCGGCCACAGCCAGGCGAGGTTCGTAGGTGCGAAGTCGGTGTGGAAAAGGGCTTACGGTTTAGGGTTCCAGCCGCAGTAGTATGCAGATGTAAGTAGTCGCAGTCGTCGACGTCCTCGTCGTCGTCCTGGTCGTCTCGTCGTCCGTCAGGCACCCAATTTCAGTTGCGAGGACATTAGCTGCCTGCAGAAATCATCGGATTCCGGCATAAGCAGCAGTGCATCCGGATGTCTTGACAGCAGCGAGTCACTGGGGCTCCAGGCCTGCGATACGCTCTCGTCGAAAATATCCGAACACTGGAACTCGCGGAGCCGCACAGAAACCTGGGCAGCTTCCAGCTTGGAACTGGGAGCAGGATATATATATATATATATATATATATATGATGTATACTGTATAAACTATATACACTATATATGATAGTCTCCAACTAAACGCTACAGATTAAACACCCCGAAAACGAGGGATTGGTTCCTTTCAGGTTGAGAGGCTGCCGGGTGCAGGCTTTGAAGTAGGAGCATTTGTGCAATGGTTTTGCGAGTCTTACTTAACCATTAACTTGCATTAACTAACGGACTACTTTTGTGCATCCGGCGTTTGTGCATCCAGCCTTTTTGCAGCAGGCCTCGTTGTCCAGCATCCAGCCTAAACCCCAAACCATTTCTTCTTTTCCCAACGCACGGAAAGCGGGAAGTGCCACTGGCATGCTCTGAATTTCCTGCCAAGGAAAAATAGCTCTAAGGCTCAGGGACTTTTGATTCAGAGCTTTCATGAGCACTTTCTGGTTTAGGATGTCGGGAAGGACCGGGATGCTTCAACCCAAATTGGAAAACAACTTCCACGACCCGAAAACTCCCAATCAATCACAACACAATGTGACGCCCGAAAGTCTCAACGGCTCCAGGTAACCAGACCCCTGTCCAGATCCAGATCGAATCCAGGCTCTTGCTCCTTTGCGACCAGTCTGGGCTCAGAGATGCTCAGGATCTTCTGCCGAGAGTTTTTGGTTCAGACTTCGGGCACTCAAGTTTCTTTCTGCTCTGAACCGCCAGACACAGACCCGAGAATATCGAGAGTTGCTCTGGGAACAGGCCTCCTCGGTGCGTAGTGGCCGACAACGGACGACCGTGCGCCTCGGCACGAATTCCAAGCAACTTGACAGGACGAATACTTAGTTGCTGAGAGTGCATAAGCCCCCAAAAGTGTGCACTTGCAGTTTTACAGTGGGTATTATTATCCCAAACAGGGTATCATGGGGAACCAAAAGTGGTTAATATAGGGTTTATACAGGGGCCATACTACCCAAAAGGTTACCTACTCGACTACTAGGTGACAGGACGAATAAGAGATGCTGGAAGTGGAAACAAGCAGGCACTCAACAAGCTTGAACATGTTTGCTCATAGAGACCCCCGCCTCTAATGCTTAGAATCCCTAAACCCTAAAACCAAAACCCTACACCCTAAACCCTAAACCAACCTAAACCCAAAACCCAAAACCCAAAACCCAAAACCTAAACCCAAAACCGTAAACCCAAAACCCTAAACCCCGGTCCGGCAGCCGGCCCTCTTTGGAAGACGCAAGCAAGCGGTTGTCGCAGAGAGCCACGCAAGGGCTGGCGAGCGCGGTTCCGCAGGGCTCGCCAGCCGTGCGTAAGCTCGGGCAGCACTGGAGATTCTATGAAATCTCCTCGCCGTCTCCTTACTATCGTCGTTGGACTCCCGCAGCCCATGGACCACGCTCACATTGAAGCAACTGAAACCCCTCCTGCCAGCAGGAGATCATCAAAGCCGGCTGAAACAGGGAGTTGAAGACCAACCGATGCATGCACATGACGATTGTCCAGATGGCGCCACGCCACTTCGTGCCAGATGCACACTCAGACGGTCGACATCAGGCAAAACTTTCACGGCGTCCCCCACCGAACAAACATGTCCAAGCCCATCCAGCTCGGGGCTATATTGAGCCCACCGCATCTTGATCAGTGCTGCGCAAACGGTTCAAGTGCAATATGCTATTCATGAAATAGTCCACTGCATCAGGCATGCTGCCCGCTTGCTGGCGGCACCAGGATGTGCGCTGTCTTGATGGTAGCCGCCCAGACTCCCAGAGAGGCGGACAGCCGTGGGAGAAGGTCAGAGCCGATTTAACTTCGAAGAGGCGCGCCTGCATCTTGGGAACCTTTCCCAGGCTCTTTCTGCGAAGAAAGTGTACAAGCGAAAAAGCTGGGTTGTCAAAATCAGCCTCAGGGACGGAGATGTGACTTTCTTCCCGGTACAAAATAGGCTCGAAGAACACAGGCAGGTCTGAAATGATAACAGGGATGCATCCGGCTAGGATCGCCAAAAAGAGCCCCTTCGAGCTCGTGACGGGACAATAGATGGAATCCCTCAAAATCTTGAAATCCTCGCGGTGCGTCGCAGGCTGGTCCGTCCATCGTACCCGGCACTCCCCCGGCGCGCAGTTTCCAGACAAGTCCTCTGCCAGCTTCAAGACGTGCACCACGCACGTGGCATTCGGTCTCGTGGAGCTCGGGCTCCTGCTCCCTACAAAGCCAATCAGTGCTTTCCGATCCCGGTGTGGAGGTCCTGCATGATACTTCCAGAAAGGCACATAGTAGGGAAGCACCAAGGCAAAAGACTTCTGTCGCATGGCAGGACTGCCGTGCATGCCATCCGCCGTAGTGGCCGCAATAGAACGACGCGCTACACCGCCTCTGCTGCGGGTGAAGCTGGGTAGGTGGTCCAGCAGGATGACATGGTCACGACCTCCCTGAAGCTGCCACCTTGATGTCGCTTCCAGCCAGTCCAGAAGTTTGAGGTAGCTGGGACAGGGCGTCTGCGCCTCTCCGGCAGCCAGACAGAAGGCCTTCTGCCAAACCACAAAAACCAGCAGCTCAGCCTTCTGCGGCTCCTGCACCACCCTCACCTAGGTCCCCAAGTGAGGGAAGCGGCATACATGCCAATGCCGAAATCCGAAACACAAAAAGTAAAACAAGAGTTCCAAGCACACAGACCAGTCACTTGCTGCCAGCGGCTTTCAACCACGGATCGCAGCTCCTTTTGCAAAAAAGCATCCGGAAAGGATAAGTCCAATTCCTCCTGAGTTCGGGGGCAGTTTGTTGGGGGTTGATTGGGAATTCTGGGTAGCGTCGGAAGTCACCAAGCTGGTTAGATTTCTGTCCGTCTTCGCTGAGCCTCCGGCCTCCGGCGACTCTGGCTTGAGGCGATTGAAATGTTGTTTTCAAGTTTGAGAGGTAAGGATCGCGGAAGGACACTGAAACCGCATGTGGGTCCATGTGAGGAAGGGGCGGCTGAGTCGGAGGCGCCGGGGTATCGCAACCATATCATACGGATTGAAGGATCTGCTCGTTGCTCAAGAATCGCCACAACATGCCATAAGAAAACACGGAAAGAAAACACATGAAAGGATGGCTTCTTATCCAAGACTCACTCCGGTTCAAGACACTCCAGGGACTCTCGGAGAGCTCATAGTAGGCGTCCCACAGCTGAGGACACACTCCACTCAGCTTGGGCCGAAGCAAACGCAGCGCCTCGTGATCGTAGATGTACACGCTGGTAGACTTTTGCGACTCTCTGCAATGTGCAGGCGACTCCGGGCGACGAAAAAGCATCAATGTTCTCCTGGCTGCTGGCTGTCGGGAATGCGAAACTATTGCCTTACTATTGGCTAAATGACCGAAAGCAACACCAGAGCAGCAAAAGTGGACGAAGGTTGTCCCAGGAGCGCTTTCAGCCAGAGAAGTGCTAAGTAGAGCAATCTGATTTTAAGAGAAGTAAACGGAGCGTGTATCGTCATGCTCATCATCAGCTGACCAACAACATCATCGCCGCCATCGTAGTAGTGTTTTATAAACGCAATATTCAAAGCCCCACACTATCATCATGGTCACCATCAGCATCAACCCCTGGCCTCCCACATAACAAGACCCTCGGCCCCTTGATCAGCGGCAAGTCTCTTGAACCAGTGACAGGTATCAGCGGCAGCACGAAGATTCAGGCTGCTCTCAAGATCGAAGTAGAGGCCGAAGCTTTGCATTCGGTACACCACATACTCATTCCACTGTTCGTTCACATGTCCCGAGCCTCCTTGACCCGGGACGGCCCAACTCCTGAGTGTCCCATGGCCCCATGGTGTGACTTTTCTCTGCTCTGCAAATCATGCTCAAGCTGTAATATACAAAAGGCTCTACACTCCTGTACTATGTTGTGCCACAGAAGATTATTATACCATAATAATTGCCTGTGACCTTGACATTTCCAGGCAGAAAGCACTAAAACAGCAACAACACAAAAACATTCGGTGATGTCAAGCCTCAGCAATACACCACAGCGAGCACGCCGCGCGATGTTTGCCAGCGCCGTCTCTTCAAATTCGGCAGGTATGTGCTCCGTAACTTCGGTACACAAAGTCCAGTCATGGGCTCGGATCAGAGAACGCAAGTTCACAGTCAAGTCTGCCTCAGAAACGAGGCCACGCGTGAGATTCCTGATGTTGGGGATGCCGTCGTACGCAGTGACCGACTCAGTCTGGGCGACATCTCGCAAATAAGAAGTGTAACAGCCACAACCAGCTCCTGACATTGAACTGCATGAAGTGAGGCTTGTAAGCATGAGTTGGCCATACAACAGTGTAATGCCTGAATACAAGCAGCCTCGACATCAAGACTGAATACGAGACGAAGGCCCCTATAAATCCTCCCACGTCTTCTGTTATTGGATTGAAGTCACACGGACTCTAACTCCCGTGATCCCAAAAAAGCCCTCACACCCGAGATCCGAAGCTGTAGCGCCTGGAACATCGACAAGGCAGACGGGTGAAGTAGCCAGGATTTCGGGTTCGGGGTCTACAAGGACACAAGCTGCATGGCAAGATGCGCGCAAAACAACAGAAACAAAACATCCCCCCGTTCTCTGAAGAAAAAAGTGCTTCGCTGACCCAAGGCTCCAAACTCCAGAACGCTGGACTTGGCAAAAATGAGGCCCATGTAGTGGGCCAAACCAATGTCCAGATAGTACGTCCTGGATGCACCCGGAAGCATCCCACATGCACGCGCAACTCTGCCTTAATCAGGTGAACTACAGTAGCAAAGATCTACCGTCCTGTGGCAAGATCTAAAGCCCCACACTCCAGACTTTTCATCAATGCTGATCCACCTCTTGGATCTGTCACCTTGGTTGGCTTATGAGTCCGCAGGTCACTCGTTTTAGCCACATGTGACGCAATCAGAAAAGTCTGAACCGTAAAAGCTGCAGTCACGCAGTTTCGTCGCACAATTTGGCCGCCAGCTGGAATCATTCGTCGGACGCGCTGTCCTCCCAGTATGACGTCGCCTAATGCCACTGAAGATCGTGTGGTAGAAGTGGTACTAGCAATTTCCTAACAGTGGCAATTCAGTAGTCGTCGTCGTTGTAAGTCACAACAGTATTACCACATTAGTCATAGTAGCAAGTGCTAGTAGTGTTTTTAGAAGGTGAATTCGTATTAGCACCAGCAGTCGCAGGAGTGATGGCTTAAGGCTTTAGTAACTTTAGTATCAACTGTCGTCGTCTGGTGATCTCAGTCGCTTAGTTGCCGTTGAACCTGGCGCTGCTGCAGAGGTCGGAGACTTGCAGGAAGAGTAGATCAACAGCAAAATCAAACCTGCAGCAAGAAATGGAAACAGTCGTGCTGCTGCAACAGACATAGACAGTGCACTTGACACAGGCAACCCAGTGTGAGTTTAAGGCCTAAGTGTGGACATCATGAAACACCACGGCGTCCTTTGCGGATCCTGCCACACAGCGGCCGCCACACATGTGGTCAGCAAGACCAAGCTGCGCATGAATGCTGCAGCCCATATGACACTACGTGTCTCGGCATTGAGGCGGCAAAATTTGCATTGCTCGGATCTGCCTAAAAGTCGGGTGGCCAACTTCCAGCGACTGTTCTCCAGAATCTTGTGTATGCCTGTCGAGTTTTGTGCGTGTGGCGTCCCAATCTGCACCAAGAGCCATGTGATATCTTGAGCCAAACACTCTGGGTTCTCTTCGAGAGCTGTGGGGCTTGGCGAAGCAGGGCCGAGCTGAAAGCTCATGGCATTGTGAGAAACCGCATCGGATGGGAGGGCATGGGAGCTGTGTCCAAAAGGGGCCTGCCTTCTGAGATCTATGTGCTAAGGCTCGGGGCTTTGCTACTCCGCTCCACAATCATTTTTCTAAGCCCAGACTCGCTCAATCCCCAACCGTAATCCCGAAAAAAGCCAAGGCACATGTAATTCTTTGTCTCATCCTCCGGGACGACAAGGGCCACGATGTCTGAGCCGTCAGCAAGGCCAGTCTGGTCGAGCCTTGCCTCGTCCTTCGGCGGCTTCACCACAGCTTCGAAGCCCGTGAGCTCAAGTTAGGAGTTGGGCTTCAGAGTATAGGTTTTTGTAGGATTGGGAAGTGTAGGTAGGAAAGCCCAAACACATGATCCGCGCTCCCATGTAAAGCCAGCAGGGTAGAGCACACACACGCACACAGGCTCTTGCGTATACAGTAGACAAACACTTATGGGATACTGAATGTTGGCATGCGCCATCATGCAGCCATCACAACAACAGTCACCTGAACAATGACTATCAGAATCGCAATGGTACTAGTGTCGATGAGCCATTACGGCCCTGCAAATTGCGCGTGCCGGTTGCATCTGTCGGCTTGCCTTTGCTCAACGACAACTTGCGAAGCAATGGCCTTCAGGATACGGAGCCTGAACCCTTCCAGACTGGACACCAACCCCTTTTCAGCAAACCCGAAACGGAGGAGTCTTTGGATTGGAGGTGGATTGAATTGCTGCGGCCATTTGCTGCACGTTGCATCGTGCTACGGTGTTGAGCTGTAGGTTCCGAGGGGTGGATCTGCATGGAAAGGCCGTCTTATCATGAGAAGAAGTGTGAGCCTGCTCTCGGATTGCAAGGTTCGGTTGGTTTGAACTTAGAACCACATGACATCCAGGACAGGATAACAAGCGAATCTTAAAGGGCCCTCTCGTTCCAGGAGCGCTGTTATCCTCCTGAGTTTGCTGCTGTCGCATTGCAGGTGTTGCTACTGGTCTTCCACACCTCAACCTCGGGACTATGACTACGATCGCCGCAAAGCAGATTTGCAGCACCAGTCCTGGAGTTGAGCAGTTCCCAGCATGAGACGAAGCTGCCTGACCTTGCGGCCACTCCCGCATCCAGGGATTCAGCATTCAATGCCGAAGGCGGGTTCGTTAGGGACGATTTTGCAAAGGTGCCAAGAAGTCTGCAGCATCCGACTCGGCCAAAGTACTTGTGGGCGGGAGGATCAGGCTGGAATTCCGAATAGCGAACTGTTGGTGATGATACGGGTGATGGCTGCGGTCGTGCAAAGGTGGGGATGCATTGCGAAGGCGACAATGACGGCAGCGATGGTGCTGGGAGCGGCGCTTGACAGTTGTTATGGTGATGATCGTCGTATTCGCAGCCACTGCTGCTCCGAACTCTGAAGTCTCTTCGTCGAACACCATCCCCCACCTCCGGACCACCCAGCGCCCAAATCTGCTGCTTCAGTTCCCGTACCTTTCAGTCGAGGCCCGCAGGATTTTGGCGGGTGTTGTGGCGCTGGCGCTTTTCCCGGCTTGGGGTTTGGCGGTTGCCAGAGGCAGAACTCCTGGGCTGTGTGGATTCTTGGCTTTTCGGAAGACCGGCCCCGAAGATCCAAATCCTAGCTGAAATCCCGGTTGCCAACAGCCGACATTCAACAGCTGCTGCGCTGCATAGTGCTCGTCAGACGAAGGGTCTTTGAGGATCTTAACCTGCTTTCCTGCGGTATCTCGTCGCCTTCAAGACCAAGCTATGATTCTGCCAAGGCACGCTGCTAAGCGGGTCCTTAAGTTACGGTTGGGGTTGGGAGCCAGCTGGGTGTATATGTCGCTTGGAGCGGGGACTTGAGCTTCATCCACACATCTCGCAAGTCCTACATACGGCAACGGCTTGAAGTTCTTCCTAAGCAAGCTGTAGTATCCTTGGCAGTTCTATCAGTCGCCTCCAACAAGCACTCCCAAATCATCAAAGGCGTGAAAGCTATTTCGGTATGATGGCAGAGTTGCCACCAATGTTTCATGAGCCTCCCAACCTTCCGCTCATGCTCTAACTCACGTGGTTGTAAAGCAGCCGAATTTCACAGCCAGGGCTACACGGCACATCGGAAGGCAACTATGATGTCTAGCCCGCTCGGTCAACCTCGCATCTTCTCAAGTTGGCGCTGTAAAAATATAGCGGAAGAACACTCGAGCTGCCAATGACTGCTAACACCGTGTATGGAGACCTCCGCCTTTGCGATTTCAAGTTTTGGCATCTGAAGCTGCGCAGAGACTCCTACCAGTAGTAACAAAGCCATCCATTGATGGAGGGGGCTTCATTTAGACTAGGGCTTGGGGTATAGTACAGTACAGTCACTAAGTCGTTATCAATTACACTCGGGAACGGTACTCAATAGCATGAGTAATGGCTTCCACAGTACAGCAGCCTGACCCATGATGCCAAGGCGCTGCAGACACTCGGGCGATCGCCTCGCCAGCGAGTGACAAAACCTTGCTCGAGCTCTCCCTTCCACGAAACTGAACTTTAAAATCCCTGACGGCTTCTGTCACAGCTTGCGGAAGCGTCAACCAGTGGTGCCGAATAGCAAGGTAGTAGGAATATACTGAGAGAATGCTCTTGTTATTCTTGAAGAGATCTCCCTTGCTTTAGTAAAGGGTGGTGTGCTCTCCGTTAACCTAATGCCATCCGATGTTGAAGCTCACGGGCCGAATCCAGGGCCTCATAACAGGCCACATTCGCATTCAAGCTACTCACTAAGTCACAATGTCTTGCACAATGTCAATGCGGCTTTCGCTGTGAGTTTCTTCTCACTGCTTGCCCGAAACCTGCGCTGCCACTCGAATTCGCCGAGAGACATTGATGGCCATGCTCCGGGCCTGCTTGTGGCCCCGACCTGGGCCAGCAAAACTCCTCACCACCTGCTAAACAACAAACATACACAAGCACATTCCAGTGGGTGCGAACTCTTGCAGTTATTATCCCAGATATGTTTTACAAAAGGTGAAACTGTCTCGTCCCATCCTCTCAGTGGGAATTTTTCCCTTTAACAGATCTCAAAGCGGGAAGAACCACCTTCAGACAGGTGCCCAGCCACGGCCTTGTACTCGACACTCCAGGTTTTGGGTTGGGGTGAATGCGCAACCATTGTACCAGGGATCCTTCAATACTGACTTTGGTGATCTTAAGCCAAGAAGAGCAACAAAGAGCTGCACACCGAAGTTTACCCCGAACCAGAGGCTCAAACACTTCCCCAGACAAAACCAAGCATATTGCCAAATCCTGTGGGTGTGGTCTGTAATTACGGTAAATTATCAAGAAGAAGCGGGATGTTACTTCCAATTGAGGGCTCCTGTGCCGAATTCTGCCGAGTTCTGAAACCTAAACAAGGTCGTACGGCACCCATTCTGGGCTCCACGCGCGGTGTGCAAGCGGAGGCGTCGCGAGGCGTATCCATGGCCCAGGAGAGAGCACGGCTCAAGGCCCTAAAATCCTAAAGTAACGAACCTTTTGCCGTAAAGCCCCAAGCCCTAAACCCATAACAACCCCCAGAAGCGCCATACCTCAATTGTCAAGACAGCATCTGGACTTGGGGCACCAAGCTGGGCATCCCGGTGTTCGGGGGTGTGAGCTTTGCAGTTTAAGGTTTGTGGGGCAGAGGGTTAAGGGTTCGGGGCCAAGTGTTTCAGGTTTAAGTGTCGGGTGCTTTTTCTCTCCTTCTCCTCTTGCTACACTGGGCTTCGGGCTTGGGCTTTGGATTTTCTTGTCGGGGTCCAAGGGTGGGAGCTCGTGGTATATAACGGCTCAAGCTCGACGATGCAGACCTTCAGCGAGTCTCCGAGTCGACTTTGTAAGCCCAAGTGGGCTTGCTGGCAATAACACAAGGCCCCCGATTCACCTTGCACCCCCTTAGCAAGTCTGACAACTTCGCCGTCCCGAGTCGAGACGAAATAAACGGAAAGGACACGTTCTTCTCACCGCCGCGACCTCGCTGCCGTAATATAGGGGCAGCAACAGTTATTAGATTAAGGCTTTCGGGAAGGAAATTAAAAGAGAGACTTAACGAGGGTTGACCACCACGGAAAGACCCCATAAAGGCTGCCTGGATGCCTTAAACAGGCGCTGTGCCTCTGCGCTTACGTTGGGGTTCGGATCCTCGGAGAGACCGCACACTTTAGGGCGTTAAGGAGCAGGAGATTCGGGCTGTGGCATAGGCAACACGCTTGTGCCTTGAGGGCCTGCGGCCTACGGGTTGACGGCATGGGGGATCTTGATGAGGGACGTTCGATCTCTGTTTATGGCTTCGGGATGCTTCGGGTCGGTTTGAGATCTCGCCCTGGCCCGCCGGGATGGCATCTGAAGTTCAGGTTCATCAGAACTTGCGCTGGTGAAACGTTGCTCAGTGTTGCAGGCCGCCGGCGAGTTCATAAACGCCTGACCTGGGGCCTGAAACCCATCTGCTGAGCTCGGGGACTTGTGCGCTTGGGCAGTGAGGTGCAGTGTGGCGCCGTCTGCTCTCGGAGTTACTGTGTTTTCGGCTGTCGGAGGCGAGCAAAGGCCGATGATACAGGTCGGATTTGGGTTCGGGATCCCTCCGCACTTTCTTGTGGTTCGAAAAAACATGATTAGCGAGTCTCTGCAGAATTTAGATTCCCCAGCTTGATCCTGCCAGCACTCATACCTCCTGCTGTACTTCAGCCTCAGGCAATCGCTAAACCAGATCGACTGAGAGCTTGTCCGGCGACTGTTCTGCATCCTCCTCCCAACCTGCGGTTTGCAAGCAGTCTGGGAGGATGCATCTTTGCTACTATGGGCAAGAGTCGGCACCCTGCCACTGGCATTTCAGCCAGATGGAGTACGGCATTCCGAAATTAGGGGTGTCTTGCAGCAGGCTTTCACACCTACCTCCCCTGAGCATGCCACCGATCGGTGTGGGGAGGTCGTGAATTTCGTCGCACACGTGATGGTACCACCACCTGCAGGGGCTTCGTTCGGCACATGGCTTCGCCACCTGTGACCGGAAACTACGACCACCTAAACACTGCCAACCCATGCAGGATTTCAACAACCTTTGTGCTTTGCGGCTCAGCATTGGAGACTCCAGAAAAATTCATCCTAATACTGCGTAGTCTATGAGCCCAACTGCATAGTGACCCTGTGATAACCTGACACATTGCATGCACCTGCCATTGCAGAGGTTAGTTCATAGAACCAAAAAGATGCAGCCGGAGAGGCCAGCGCTGGACGCCGTCCACCAGATCGCCAGAAACGGACGATTGCCCCTTGGCCCTGGGTGCCGGCACTACTAAAGAGTGCTCAGAATATCAGGGTTTAGGAGCTTAGGGTCCAGATGTCGCAGGAACTCAGCCGTGCTTCCCAAACCTTCCTGAGTTCTGCGAGTGGCAGCTCCGCATCCCGATAACTGATCGGCAGTATCACGTTCGAAGTTCGAAGCCCATCGAAGGTGCCTTCCTTGTTCAGTGAAACACAGAGAGCCAAACCCTGAGAAGCTGAGAACAGCGGGGTTCAACGACATTCCCCGCCTTTGCCGGACTTGACAAGGAAAGAAAACCGTTGAATCCTTGACTCACCTACAAGTAGCCTGAACCTCTGCTGTCCAGGCAGCGCATTCAGCCGCTGCAGATACGACACCTGAAGCAGTGTGGTTCGGTGTGAGCAGCAGTACTGGTCTTGGTAGAGGACCACTTTTCCACAGGTGGCCTCTGATTTCTCGGAAGGTGCAAAACTCAATCTACCATCCTTAATCAGCCAGGGTAAGAAGCTGTCGTCATGAAATGGAAGAGCCGCTCGAAGCAACACCCTCATTCAACACCTGCAGCACTCACCGCACCGTTAACTGTGGAAAAACCAGATGTTGCAGTCGCAGTCCTGAACAGTCTGGGATCTTGAATGACAGCACAGTGACGTCAGCACAAGGCACACGATGACAAGCTGGAACAAAGAGACCGGCAATAGGAGTATTGGATGCACGGGACGAGTAATTAGCCAAACGCTGCAACTGTCTGAGGGTACAAAGTCTCTAAGCTTCTTTCCGTGGTATTTCACATCATGGTAGGCTATAGACTTTCGGTCTTGAACCTCTGATTAGCTCTACCCCATTGATGCCTCTCCGCCGGCCCCAGGATCCAGGCGTGGGCGCTTGGCTAAGGGCTCGGCGAGGCCCGGCGATGCACCTCCCGAACGTCTTTATTTCAGGAATTAGAGGAGGGGCAAGGACACTTTATCTCATCATGATGTCGAGCCAGCCAACTCTCCCGAAATCAGCCACGACAAAGTTCTACGATGCTACTGGCACGTCGTAGCAGGCCAACACAAGGACTCCAAAATTTGCATAAACCTGTACATCCTATGAACCCGGAGGCCTCAACAAGTCCGACTACCTCGAACCCTGCCGCGGGATGCCAGTCATGGTACGCCGACCGTAGAAAGTCATCTCACATTCTGATAGTTCGTGGTAGCGGATTAGGGTTTGGTGTTTAGGGTGGAGTTTCAGAAACCCTTGACCCTTGTTTTGATGAAGCTTTCCCGTCCTTCCACAAAGGCGGCCACGTCTGCCTCTGCAGTCGCACAGAGGCTCTGCGTGCAGCTCTCGCAGAGGATCTGACCGGGGCCGCCAAAAAGTGAAAGGTTTAAGGGCGTTTCTGAGTGCGGCAGTCTAAATCTCCGGCCAATCCGGAATGTTTGGCTGATGGTCCTCGTGAATGCCACGCGAACGTTCATCATATTAGCGAATCCATAGCTGGTTTTCCCTCTCAGAAAACACGCGAAGGTCAACCACCATGAATCCACATGGCTTGCAGACTTGCAACGTCCCTGTTTCCAGCCTCGAAGCCTCCTGGGGGGAGAACCTAGAAGGTGGACTTTTTCGCCTGCAGTGCCTGTGGGCTACTAAGCTACTACAAAGACCGACCCCCTTGTGACCTGAATTCAACATCGGAGCTCCTGACCCGAATCCTAAACCCCTGAACCCCAAACCCTAAACCCCTAAGCCCCTAATTAAACCCCTAAACCCTAAACCCCTAAACCCTGATGGCCTTCCGGCGAGGCAGAGTCAGCGCCCACTGCCCGACCTCGAGCGAACAACCCGAAGCCAAAGATGGAGCCCTGAGACACCATGACGCATGGTAGGGTTTAGGGTTTAGGGTTTAGGGTTTAGGGGCTATAGGGTTTAGGGTTGAAACACTTTCCGTTGAGATCCTAGAAGCAAATTCGCAGCCGTCCCCCGGGAATCCTTCCCCACGCCTGTTTCTTCCGAAACCCTGAACTCTAGAATCCCAAAGCCCAAAACTAAAAAACAACAACCCTTGCAAAATCCTACCAGGTTCTACCAATCAAGGCCCCTCCATAACTTCTCTCCCAAAGCCTCCTGTCCGCAGCCCGTGCATTTCGGGGGCTCCTGCACCGCCTCAGCGGGCCTGGGACCGTTTTCGGGGGTTTTGAGGTTTGGGGCTTCGCTTTGGGACTTTTCTTTAATTAAGTTTAAGGATTCTCTTGTCTGATCATTCATTCATATATATATATATATACGCATCACCAAAACGGAAGACACAGCTCGTCCGGTTATGTGCCTTCCGACAGTGAGCAGCACCTCTGCTTTTCCTCCTGGAACATTCTCCGTGCCTTCCCTGCGAATCATGTGATTTGGCTCCCCGGCCCTTCAGCCCAAAACCACGAGACTGCCAAAGCATCAAGCCTTATGCCCTGAGTGCCCGAGGAGTCATAAACGGCGCAACTCTGGATTCTCTGAGCCGAGGTGCTTTTCTTCAGGTTTCTCTTCCGATGCCGCGGGTGCTGGCCAAAAGCGCATGAGCTGCTCCTGCGTACGCACGGTGTGATTTCGCGACACGCTAGACTCTCATGGAAGTGTAGTGTGGGGTTGCAGTTTCAAGCGGGGATGAGGTCATATGCGTCATGTTGCTCAACGCAATTTTGACGACAGGCAAGTTTTACTGAACCACAGCTCTTGCCAGGACATGAATGCTGCCAAAGCCTGACCTTACACTCCCCTTGCCGGCTCTCCTGTGAGAGTGTCTCGTTCTCAACTGAGTTTCAAGACGTTTCAAGCGCGTTGTTGAAGTAAGTCCTTACGAACTTTGTCACTCAACCCTTTCCTTGCTTCGGTATAATTCTTAAAAGTGATTTTGCGGGCATCCATATGTACGGAGACTACCCATCGTTTTCCAGATCATGTCCTCAGCGATATTGCGAAGCCAGCTGCACTCAGCAGTACCAAAGAAAATTTCATTAATCACTACAGAAGAGCTGAAAGGGGACTGTGAGGATTCCTCTGCATGAGGCTGTCCAAAAGGCCTCATACAGGTGGAAGTGCGCTTTCACCCAACAGCAGCGAGTGCGAAGCTTGGTTGGTGGGTGGTCGATGGGCGCAAGCAATCACATAAGACATGTGGCTTTACCATGCCAAGGCCTGTCTACATG